TTAAAAAGACCAATGCCTGGTCTCCATTTCCGAATTATAGCCAATGCCTAGTCTCTATTCCACCCACATCCTACGAGGGGCGAGTACCCTCTAGGATGTGGGGAGATTGAGATATGATTGTTACTACATCGAAGAGGAGAATGTTAGATTGAATTACTTCAATTTAGACCAATGCCTGGTCTCCGGCCTGTGCCGTTTAAATAGAATCGACCAATGCCTGGTCTCCATTTCCGAATTATAGCCAATGCCTAGTCTCTATTCGACCCACATCCTACGAGGTAGTCCCCCTACGAGGTAGTCCCCTTTTACCCCTACCCTTAACTGCATTGGACAAAGGCTCATTCAACCCGCTTGGCGTAAACCAGAGCAAATGTGAAAAGTCTGGTGACGTTGTCGTTGCTCCCTGGAAACCAAGGACAAACTACTGAGCACCTACCTACAGAGTCCTTTGCTTCTCTAGCACTGGGCCACGAGTGCTTGGCGTGAGCTCTATAGAGTGGCATGGCGCACATGGTGACAGCCAACGCTGATCCGGTGGCGCACTCGTCCTTGCTCGGCAACGTTGGAGAACCATAGATCAACAAGGATCCATTTTATGGCCCTTGCTATCGGATAGCGTAGGTAGACTCTGTTGAAGCCTATCCTGGTGGTACTTCGCTGCGCTGGGGTCTCGATGCATCTGATCTTCTCAGCGCCCCGAGTCCTGAGGAGTAGCCACCGCTTGCCCAGTAGCCTGGTCCGTCGCCACTCGCTGCAATGACGCTACGACCGAAGGCTGCCAGAGCAAACGGATCTCGCCGAGACAAATATGCATCATCCATAGACACTTCGTTCAACACTTCTAGAAGCTCTTCCCGTCGAAGCCGCTCGCACATCACACTGCTTCTTCCTGCGTCCGACACCAACGAAAACGAATTATTGGCGATATCTGCTCCAAACGACTACGTGTCGTCGTCGTTATCGCGATGCATGTTTCTGCGGCCACCACACTACTGTACAGCGTATGTATTGGGTCACTTCGGCTGCATACGCCGTGTCTTCTCCACCATTCGGCTGTCAATGACATGAGGTCCTGGATAAAAAGGACCATCGAGTCTCGTACGAGTGATGCTTGATACGGACTCGAACGTTGCATGAGCTTGGCTTCTTCTATGGCTCGGGTACAAGTAATGAAAGCTCCGATGGCGGCCCTGCGGCCGCCATTGAATTCTGAATTGCAAGTTGAAGCGTTGCTGCGACAGGCGAAGTTCGAAGCCGCCGATCGCACCTTCACGCGAGGCGACCAATGAGAAAAGCTTCGAACTTCTGTTGGGACTCTAAATTGAAACGGTGGCCCGCGAGCGAGGAGCTTCTAGTCATCAAAACACCAGCTTCTTGTACATAGCCATGGCGCAGCAGTCCCCGTTCGCGACGTCCGAAGAGCCGATCCGCGCCCGGT